CATTACTTTTGTGGGCTTGGGTGTAGTGGGAAAGAGATGTGTTGCAGTCCTGACTGGTGCCTTTTCTCCCAAACATACAGAATGTTCAAACCCTCTTTTGGCTCTAGTGTATGTATTGCTCTTAAAAGGCAGTTTTGGGTAAACAGCTATCAATTAGAGACATTTTACTTCATACTTTACAAGGCAATAACTAAACAAAATGACAAATGCATTAAAATGATCACACAGTGGAATTTCCATTGTATAGTCTGCTTTATTAACTAATCTTAAAAAAAATTCAAAAGTATCTGCTGATATATTGCAGGCATTTGTTTACAATAGAGATTTAGTAAACTGTAAGATTTATGCATATTTCTCTCTTTTCACTTGGTAAATCTTTGAGAGATAAAAATTTTATTGGTGCAGAGAGAGACTGAATATCTAGGTACTTACCATGCATGGAACATAGAGGGGTTTAACTCATGATTTATATACACAATGCTGCACTGCAAAACTGCCTTGGAAATTTACTCATGTAGCAGAAAACATGATCCCCTGCCCTTTGCTACGATGATTGATGATAATGTAAAACCTAATTTCAAACTCACATTTCAAAAACTTTCTCTCCCATCAGCAGGTGTACAGAATTTGGTGGTTTGATGTGTTTTAATGAACCACCACATCTTTTTTAAAGCAAGTTGAAAAAGTGAAAATTATAGGTCGGGGCTCTGAACTAAATTTCTCTGTTTACTGCTTCTTTTAAGTCTTGGATTTTGTTCCAGGGCTTTGACTGGCTGTTTGTTGGGGCAGGAAAATACTTTTTCCTGGTACAGTTATTACCTTTACCTAAAGGTAATCCTGGATGTCTGTGAGGTGACGGTGTGGCCTTTGAGAGAGCTTGTGGAGGACACTGCACAGTAGAGGCAGTATTCTGGTGGGAACAGATACTGTTAAAACAGATTATCTTCAGCAGGAAGTACTGTAAGGCTTAAGTATACATGTATATAGCCAAGATACAGATTTTGTGGAGGTCAGAATTGATAACATTATGTGGACTTTTTGCTTTTCTGATTTTTCTGCCAATTTTCTTATTAAATTTTTGACTGCCTTTTCATGTGAACTACGTAACTGATGTCTGAGACATGTTGTTTAATATTCCACAGATCAAAAACATGTGCTCTGCCTGAGATATTTGGTCTTAACTAAGAAGACTGTGATCCAGAGTCTGTATTTTTGATAGTTCAATGGTCTGTTCTGCCTTTAATATCTCTTAAAGTAAGTCAGCCTCTGATGTCCCTCAGTTCTGAAAAAAAATCACGTATAAACGTGACTGATGAGATAGTAAATTGGACAAATACAGCATTAATTTGTGATGAGTTCTGTTATATGGTTGTCTATGTAAAAAAATGGAGTGAAATGTCAGCTTCCTTGCACCCAGTCCAAAGAACAGCATCACATTTACCTTTGATCAGCTTTTTGGGCCGAAGAGTGAGTATAAAATAGCAACATTCATTTGCCTACAAGAATATCCCTCACTCAGTCTGGACTCAGGCTGCAACAGATAGAAATAATATTTTTACTTTGGGAAACAGGTCTCTTGAAGAGGGATGGAGGAAGAGAGAGGGAGAGAGGAAGAAAGAAGCAAAGGAAGAGATGAAGTTTCTCACTTCTGTGGTTCATTGTGATGGAAATGTCTTTTAAAATACACTACTGACTTAGGAATACTTGTCTTTCACATTCATTGCACAGGTGTCAAATCAAATTTTATCTTGCAGTGTCTTGTGCACTGGAGCATAGCTCTTGCGACATTTTATAACATAATGCAACATAAGGTAATAAATCATACAGAAGTGAGTAAAACCTCATTTTTCTGTATGTGTCTTGAGGAGGGCGATGAACCAAATAGCACAGTGCTAATTTTACTGTGCTTCTATCATTGTTAAGAAAATATTTTTTTCTCTCCCATCCTTGCTGAGGGACTATTTATCAAAATAATTCTTCAAAGTGAAATTATTTTTCCCCTAATTTTTGCATATATATTGTGCATCTAGGGGCTCATAAAATTTTAGAAAAAAATACAGGCTTGAGAGCTCAGTAAAACTCCTCACAGTAACAAGACAGATTTTAAAGTGTATCGACCACAGAAATAAACCTCCTTTCAGCTAGGTGAAAAATAATTAATCTGTTGTGCAGCTGTGGTTTCTGAAGCAGTACTGTAGGCAAATGAATGTGAAATTTAGAGTCAGTTTGTTTTTCTTTAGTACATTAGTGAAGAATTGGAGTGCAACTTTTGGGAAGAAGCTTGTGGTGAATAGGTCTTTTAGGTGGGAATAACTGAGATTAGTCTCCAGGAGGCCAGCAGCACTCTGGTCATGTGCCTAAGAGCACGCACAATACCATGCTCACTAAGAAGCATCTGCTGCCTGCACATGGGACTCTCTCTTTTCTTTGTGAGGGAAGTCTGTCATGTAAAAAGTGGACTGGAGTTTAAGACACTTTCAGACAAAACTCTTTTCACTGGATGTTGGAGATAGCAACCTTGGGAGTGCTGTGATTGCTCCTAAGCACACTGGAGAAGCATCACCTCCAGAAGTGCAATATACTTAAATATTGCTCCATCTAAGCAAACAATCTGAAGATATGCTCCTTCTCACTTTTAGCTTAGCAAATGAAAAGATTAAAAAAAGAAAATTGAGACTTTTTCCTTACTTTAGTTAAGAATTCAGGTAAGGACTATTGCGCCAATTACATTTTATCATCCTAAGTGTGAGTGGTCAGTTGCAAGACAGTGTGGACTTAAGTGATAATGTGGCATGTAATATGACTGATAAAGTTGTAAAATAAAAAATAAATTCAAAAAGGGAAAAAAAAGAAAAGAGGTGCTGTAATTCCTATTGGTAGGTATCCTGCTTTCTATTATTATACAGAGTGTGTCTCTGAGAAAGACCAATTTGACAAAGTGGAATTACTACTTGGAAAATGATAAAAATTGCATAAAGCTAGCTCTGCATATCTAAGTCTACTAAACAGTTCCTTGAAAGAACATGTAATCATTTGAAAGTATACATAATAGTTTTAAAGCAGTGGAATTATTTTTACTATGAATTATTCATCTCCTGTACTCATCATGGGAAGGGGTGGTGACTTCTTTTATCAACAAAATAGTTTTTATTGACACTAAGAACAGCACTTAATTGAACCTCTTTCCCCAATTATCGTCAGAAAAGAGTTTACACTTGTACTTTGGAAAAATGTTTTAGGAAGATTTATCAAAGCTGCAAAAAAAGCTGTCCATGAACTAATAGAATTATACTATCTTTGAATTCTCTACACCAGAACTTAGAATGGTCACTAATTCCTTTCTTTGCTCTTTTGGTGTTTGCAAAGGGGTTCACTAAAGCCTGAATTGATATAATTATTGGCTTGGATTGTTAGAGATTTAGGCCAGATGGCTATGGGTTTCTAAAGTCCCAGTTGCTTGTGTTAGCTTTTCTAGTTTGCCTATAGGGTTTTGGGGATCAGCAATTTGAAAGGGCTGCAAACTTGTAAAACAGTATTATTCATGGGGGCAGAATGTTCATCAGCGTGACCCAGTACTAAATACATTCATTATGGGCATTTCTATTCTGCACAATTTGCCACACGGTGCTAGTTTGTGGAAGAAATAAAAAAGAGACAATGGCTTATAAAATGCTTTTGAATGCTTAAAGAGAAGGAGAGTTCACACTGGGCCTCCTCTGTTTTTTTTCAGCAAAAACCTTCTTAGTAACTTTGGCTGAGCTCTGCTGAGAGCAAGTAAATTCAGCAAATAAGAGATTTACTCTTTACATTTTTGGGATATGCTGTGGGGGGAACATAAGAGAGGGAGAAGAGCAATAAAAGAGTGATGATATCCTTATGGGCAACACTAATAATCAAACAGACAAAGTTAGCAGAAAAACAAGGAGAAACATAGCAAGCCTGTGGATAAAATGATAAAAGCATATGTAAAAAGGAAGTAGAAGTCACACAGATAGATACATTTGAAGTGAGAAGAATGCATCAGCTTCCATGTCCTGAAAGCAGCCTGAAGCTCACACATGGATCTGTAACATTTCTGGTGTGCACAAAATGCATGCTCGTCTCAGACCTAAGATTATATTTTTGTGTGCAAATGTGTGGGAGTAGTTTTCTCCAACATCAGAGAGGGGAGGAATTTGTCATTTTCTAAACAATCCGTCTTATGGCTTCTTTTCCTTTAAAATACTTGGCATGTAGAAGGTGTGCTTAGCACAGACTGTCAGGGTGGAGCACGAAGTGCTATTTCAAACAGGATGAAAAAAATCATCTGAAGTAGCACTGGAACAGCAAGTAAAAAAGCTCTGAGACAACTGCACACATGAACACACACAGGAACGGGGCTCAGGCAGAGGCAGCTGCACTGAGGGCAGAGATGCTGCGAGAGGCAGCCAGAGAATGCAAAATGTTCCTGACTTGGGAAGAAGGAGGACAAGGTTTCGTGGAGTGGAGGAGCTCTCGCAGGGCTCCGAGCAGGAGCACATATACTGGGAGCATGCAGGTTGTAGGTAAACACACAGCAAGAAGACGTTCTTGCGGCAAGGATAGCGAGACGTCACCCCCAGCTCTTTCACTAAGCAAACCCACTTAAAGGCTCCCTGCGAGTTAAACAAGGGGTAACCTAAAGTATGTAAATAAAGAGTGCGATCGCATTTCTCGTGGCAGGAAGGGGAGGAATTAAAATCACAAAACCCCGCTTGGAATTGCCATGAAAATTCGGGGGGTGGGGAGCAGAGACGTTGATTTAAAGTTGCCCATTAGTCATTTGTACCCCCCAACCCCCATCCCTGGCGGGTGCTGGCCGAGAGGCCGCCCTCGCTCCCGGTCCCCCCGCCGCGGCGCGCCGGGCTGCGGGCCCCCTCCCCTTTTCTCCCCTCCCCTTTTCTCCCCTCCCCTCCTCTCGCCTCCCCGGCTGATTGGCTGCACTGGTCTCAGCACGGACCGGGCAAAAGCTTTGTCTGGGGACTTGGAGTGAAGTTGCGGAGGAATTTAGGCTGGAGTCGGCGAGGGAGGCCCTTCAGTCCGGCGGCGAGTGCGGAGAAGGACGGGAGGACGGGCTGCAGATCCATCCCGCCGGCTCCCGGCCGTCCCTGGATGTTGAGGGTGGGAGAGGAGCACGCTGCCCCGAAGCATCTCAGCCTGGAAGAAGAGCGCTGAGTCAAATGAGAAAGCGTGGATTGCTTGCAGATTGTATCTGGATGTCCCGAAACGGTGTGTATAAAAAAAAGCCAAAAGTTTTCTGATCTGTAAGTTATTCATACTTGGCTGGCTAGAAAAGGCGTTTTCAAGCTGGAAAGGACCAGATGTGCTTTGGATTTAAGGTACCGAAGGAAGGCGAAATAATTGCTTTTTAACTTATTGGGAGAAATTAATTGCATAAACTTACAAATGTATCGAATCGACGGTAAAATGCACTTTTTATTCATTTTTGCACTGATGATAATATCTTGCAATAATGCTGTGCTGGGCAAGAATTTGAAATACAGGATTTATGAGGAGCAGAGGGTTGGATCAGTAATAGCAAGACTATCGGAGGATGTTGCTGATGTTTTATTAAAAATGCCTAACCCTTCCTCAGTTCGGTTTCGAGCCATGCAGAGGGGAAATTCTCCCTTGCTTGTAGTCCGTGAGGATAATGGAGAAATCAGCATAGGAGCTAAAATTGATCGGGAACAACTGTGCCAGAAAAACTTAAACTGCTCCATAGAGTTTGATGTGATTACTCTGCCCACTGAACATCTGCAGCTTTTCCATGTTGAAGTTGAAGTGCTGGACATTAATGACAACTCTCCGCAGTTTTCCAGAGCTCTGATTCCTATTGAGATATCAGAGAGTGCAGCTGTAGGAACTCGGATCCCTTTGGACAGTGCTTTTGATCCAGATGTGGGAGACAACTCCCTTCACACTTACTCCCTTTCTGCAAACGATTTTTTTAGCATTGATGTGAGAACCAGGACTGATGGTGCTAAGTATGCAGAGCTGATTGTGGTCAAAGAGCTGGATCGCGAGTTGAAATCGACTTACGAACTCCAACTCACTGCCTCTGACAAAGGGGTGCCTCAGAGATCTGGGTCATCCCTCCTTAAAATCAGCATTTCTGATTCCAATGACAACAGCCCTGTCTTTCAGCAGCAGTCATATATTATCCAGCTCTTGGAAAACTCCCCTATTGGGACTTTGCTCATAGACCTCAATGCTACTGATCCAGATGAGGGCGCCAATGGGAAGGTTGTGTACTCCTTTAGCAGCCATGTGTCTGCCAAAATTATAGAAACTTTTAGGATAGACCCAGAAAAAGGTTACCTGACCCTGCTGAAGCAAGTGGACTATGAAGTAACCAAATCCTATGAAATTGACGCTCAGGCTCAGGATATGGGGCCAAATTCTATTCCAGCTCACTGCAAAATTATAATTAAAGTTGTGGATGTGAATGACAACAAGCCAGAAATCAACTTAAATCTGATGTCCACAGAAAGAGAAGAGGTAGCTTGCATTTCTGAGGGGTCACCCCTGGACACTTTTGTTGCCCTGGTCAGAGTGCAAGATAAGGACTCTGGTGTGAATGGAGAGATCGTTTGTAAGCTCCATGGGCATGGCCACTTTAAACTTCAAAAGACCTATGAAAATAACTATTTAATCTTAACTAATGCCACTCTAGATAGGGAAAAGAGATCTGAATACATCTTGACTGTAATAGCAGAGGACAAGGGAACACCAAGTCTCTCCACAGTGAAACACTTTACTGTCCAAATCAGTGATGAAAATGACAACCCACCCCGCTTCCAGACAAACAGATATGAAGTTGTTATCTTGGAAAATAACTCTCCTGGAGCATACATCACATCAGTCACAGCCACAGACCCAGATCTAGGTGACAATGGGCAGGTGACATACACTATTTTGGAAAACTCAGTTTTGGGAAGTTCTATAACCACCTATGTGACCATTGATCCCTCCAATGGGGCAATCTATGCCCTGCGAACCTTTGATCATGAAGAAGTAAATCAAATTGCCTTCATGGTGCAAGCTAGGGATGGAGGGACCCAACAGCTCATTAGCAACACCACGGTTGTACTCACCATCATTGATGAAAATGACAACGCTCCCGTCATCGTGGGGCCAGCACTACGCAACAGCACAGCAGAAATCTCAATCCCTAAAGATGCTGAAATTGGCTTTCTTGTCACCAGGATAAGGGCTACAGACAGAGACTCTGGTATGAACTCTGAACTCAGCTGCTCCATAGCAGCTGACAAGGAAAACAGCATCTTTGTGATGGATCCCCAAACTTGTGACATCTCTATCAATGTGAGTGTTGAAACAGTTCCAGCAAAACAGTGGGAGTTTTTGGTAATAGTCCAGGATAAAGGCAGCCCTCAGCTTAGTACGAAAGCTCTTCTGAAATGTACCATTTTGGAGCATGTTTATTCATTTTCAAGCACCGAAGCAACTTTGGTAAGCCAGCCCTCCCTCGACATCTCCATGATAACTATTATATCCTTAGGATCTATATGTGCCGTGTTATTGGTTATTATGGTTATCTTTGCTACGAGGTGCAATCGAGAGAAAAAGGACACCAGGTCTTACAACTGTCGCGTGGCCGAATCAACCTACCAGCACCATCCAAAACGTCCCTCCAGGCAGATCCACAAAGGGGACATCACTCTGGTGCCAACAGTTAATGGCACTCTACCCATCAGGTCTCACCACAGAGCTTCGCCATCATCATCCCCAGCCCTGGAGAGGGGTCAAATGAGCAGCCGGCAGAGCCACCACAGCCACCAATCACTGAACAGCCTGGTGACCATCTCCTCGAACCATGTGCCTGAAAGTTTCTCCCTGGAACTCACCCATGCTACTCCAGCTGTCGAGGTAAGGTCCCGACCTTGGTTTTGCATATCCATTTATGTAGACACTCATTTGGAAGCCTACACACACCCTGTGTGCAGTCTGTGAGAGCAAGAGGCAGCCAGGTCTATGCCTCATGAGAATGTGTCATGGATTTCTCTTCGGTGTCACAGCTTTTCAGTTTTATTCCAATATCAACAGATTCCATTGCCCTGAGGAACAGGGTTAAATCTACTGGTAATAGCATTGTTCCTTGGTTCTTCCCTGTAAGGTCAAAACAATGGAGTGGAACATAGTGCTCTGCACTGGTTAACTGTTCACTCTTCCTTGCCTTCCCTCTCCCTCCTATCTGTACAGCTCCATCTGAGAAAGGGTGCCTGAATATTTATATTCAGAAACAATCCAGGAAACTCTTTCATTAATGGGGGTGGCAGAACTAAAACATTCTGACACAACTTGAGTACAGCTGCAGTAACATACAGCTGCATGGTATCCCAAACTTTGAGACTCCCTGTCTCAGTTTTTACTGCAAATGCTGGGTCATGGCTTAAATAAATGAGAGCTGTGTCCTGGTAATTCTTTACATGTAAAGCAAGGCTGTTTTGTTTTGAATTAGGATCCTGGAATATTAAAGGCTTCATTCTAACATATTAAACCAAAACAAAACTCCACCTCTGTTTAATTGCTTGTTTTACTTGTTAAGGAATTAATTATTATGAATTCAGAGGCTAATGAACAGCATTGAACTTCCTCATTTTACAGAGTCTTCAGATGTTTCCTGTGTCAGATGCTACACTACCAAATAGTCTATTGTACTGCATTAAATATGTGCAGGAATTTGATTTAATTAAATCTTAAAAGGGGAACAAATAAACCACAAAAAAACCTGAGAAGCAAATTAGTGGTTTTATGACTAGGAGCTTGAGCTTTCATTTCAGGGAATCAGTCCTTTCACCTTTTCTTTCACAGGTTTCCCAGCTTCTCTCGATGCTTCATCAGGGCCAGTATCAACCGAGACCAAGTTTTCGAGGAAACAAATATTCCCGAAGCTACAGGTAAAAATCCAGTTTGTTCTGCTACATATGAGTGTACATGAATAAGAAATATAGAGACATATATTTTTAAACAAAAGTAGATTATAACGTACTTGAGATAATGTATCTCTCCACAATTCTCTTTACAGATATGCCCTACAAGATATGGATAAATTCAGCTTGAAAGACAGTGGCCGGGGTGATAGTGAAGCTGGAGACAGTGATTATGATTTGGGAAGAGAGTCTCCAATTGACAGACTTCTTGGGGAAGGATTCAGTGACCTTTTCCTTACAGATGGAAGAATTCCTGCAGGTAAGAGCAGAATGGAAGCTGAGGAGTTTATTTACAGTTCTGCCTGGCTGTCACTTTGATAAAACTACTACTGAGAAAGCAAAAATTCTTTAGCTTTCAAGTCCTGTGTTTCCTTCCTTTTTTACTTTGCTTCATGATAAATATTGACTTGAAGCCTTGATGTATCTACTAAAATGAAACCTCAGATACAGCTGCAAATCTACCCAGAGCAATGCCTACTTTTTTGTTACTTATATCATGAGCTGGCTCCAGATTCCTCCTAAAAGTATGATCTGCTCCAAGTCCTTAGACTTTTAATGACTGGGTGGATGTTTTTGCAAAGCCAGGCAGTTGTGCTTTGTTAAAAATACAGTGACCTATAATTTGGGTGATAGGTTTTCCGCAATGGATTTGATCCATATGACACAAACTTTTACCGTTTAGAAATTGAGTGTGAACGTAAACTAGAAATATGGATGGAGAAGAAAGAAAAGTGTTATTCCCACTGAAAAATGAACTTGATTAGCAAGAGAAGGTTTTAAATATTTCCCATATTTTAAATCTTGCAACCCTAATTTCTGGAAACAAGAGCTTAAGAGGTACAATTCAGGGGCAGAGCACAGAAAAGAAAAATATTAGAAAAGGGAGAGTGAAAGTAGGACAAACATATATGTACATATTCATGTGTATGAAGTATTGCTTTTAAATTTATGCCCCAATAAAAGTTGAATAAAAGGTCATGGGAATTCATGCTTAGTACACATAGAAGAATTTTGTAATTACTTTAATAATAATAGAGCCTCTGGTTGTACCCTAGATCTTGTTCTTCAGATCATATTTAGTTTTCTCTGTATAACCAGAGGGCCAGATAATTTCAGTAGGGTTCACTGAACCATGTTTATAAATTTAACGAGTTTAGGAAAGTAATTTTATAAATGGAGGCCCTTTGCTTTGGAGGGTGGTGCAGCACATTCCCTTCCTAAAGTGACTCCCATGTATTAACCAGGGCTGTTATGCTAGACAAGACAGAATGCCAGAAGTTCAAATTGTTTTTCGTATGCATTTTAACTTGAAAATTTTCTGTGCATGTTTTGTTCCAGTTAGGTCTTGTATCACATACCCAGCCATTCACCTACCTCCTCAAATGTGCTCAAAACCAGAGGCCTTGAGGAGTTACTCTGTTTTCAGAATATTTTACTTAAATTTTGACTTCTAATATATTTTTATCCTCATTCTCCCTAACTCCTACTACTTATTCCTCTGCCAGCTAGCATGAGGCATGTCTCATACTCTCCTCTGCTTTAGAAAGGAGGCAGGGAGGGATCTGCTGGAGCTCTCAGTTGGCCTGGGTAACTTGAAGTGCAGTGGTGTTTGTATTGGCATCCTGCCCTGCTCCTGCCAAGGAAGACTGATCCCTTTACAGTGAGCAACTGGGGGCTGCCAGCAGACAGGAATGGATGTCCTCTTAGCTAGCTGAAATGCCCATGACCCATTTTCAGCTTTTACAATTCCCTTTCTAAACAGTAAGCCTAAGGATAGGATTTCTAAAAATGCCAGGCTAATTAAATTCAAAGTAAGGGAAACTCCTCTCAGTGCAGACAGAACTGGGTTGGGCTATCAAGACTGGTATTTAGTCTCACCCAGATGTCCACTTATTGCTATGTGTGGCCTTAATCCTTCAGAAAATTCTGTTGAAAGTGTTCAGATGAGACCTGTATTGATCTACAATCCCAATATATGAAAAGGAAAAGAAAACTTCCTGAAGGTTTCCTGTTCTCCATTCTGAAAGGTTTCTGCATTGTCAGTCTAGACACAGGCAAAAATGCTGTGGGAAGGTCCTTTCAGTTTGTCTATTTAAGGTGGAACAAGAAAGGAATGGAGCCAGTCCCTCAAAACTCCACAAATTACATGATTGGAAAGTTCCACAGCTGTCATTGAAAGACTTGTTTCTTTTTCTTTTTAAATCTTAACCAGCATGATTTAAATTCTGGAAAAAAAAATAAAAAGAGAGAAAAAAAATAGAGCTGTTGTGCATCTGGACATTTTAAAATTTATTGCCGATTTAAGGACAGATTGTGTCACCATTCAGTTACTTCAGAGTATCTTTTGATCTTATATTCATGAACGTCGGAATTTATTATTTTAAACCAAAACCATTCCTGATAACAATGGCTGCAAAACTGTCATTAAGACAAACTTCACTACTAATGAATGTAAAGGAGTCTTAAAGGAATCTTCTTAATGAGAAGTATAATCTTCACCTTCTGGGATGACTTGAAAACTGGTCATGGATCACTTAGATGTCTTTTGACAGTTCTAACTCTTGGGCATTTTCAGTCAAATGTCATATATGGGAACAAACACTTACAGGCATTTCAGTCACTTGTATCAAAACTTCAGCCACTGGTATATTCCAGTTTGCTTTTTTTGTTTGAAGCTTCCTGGATCAGCAGTTATTTTGCAATAGATTGAGCAATATCCAGGCTGCAGTCTAAGCTCGTAATCTTGAAGAAATTCATACTGTTGCATGCATGACATGGAGAAAGTTTATACTCATAGGAATGGAAAGGCCATTAGGAAAGCAAACAATATGATAGGCTGTGTATAGTGCAAAAATATAGTGCTGACAGTATGAGAGTAGGACTTTACAAATCACTAGTACATCCAAAACTGAAATACTCTGTTCAGTTCTGCTTACACCACAACAGAAAATTTTTTTGATAAACGAAGTGGATCCAGAGCCAGATGGGAGATGTTTTGAGGGAGCAAGGAAAACTTCCAGGGCATGACTGCAAACATTTCTTTTGCAGTCAGTACATGCTGAGAAAGAACAAGAAAGTCTATTCTGTGTGGGATAATCTAACCATTAAGTGATATGGGCAGGAGTTTCTTACGGTCAAAATATGCATAATGCAAAGAGTCTGTCATTTCTGAAAGCTGTCTTTTGATGTTGGTGACTCAGATCCATTAGGGCCCCAGCGGCACCCAGATCTTCTCCAACATATCTGGCAGGCACACAGACACACAGCCTGTGGCAAGGCTTTGTGTCCTATGATCAGTTCCCTTTGGGCTGGAAAATTTAGCATCTTTCCTGGCACATTCCTCTCTGCAGGTCTGTAAAATTGGGCTTTGCCTGTCCCTACTTCTAGGAACCATTCCCAGTCCCGTCTTGGAATATTTGCAAAGGACCCTTGCAGTTCCCCTTCATGGGCCAAATAAAAATGGACCAGCGTAGCACTCAGGGTTACAGTCATTTGCCCCATCTCACTGCTTCTACTTGAGAGACATCAATAAACCAACAAGCAGGGAGAGCAGCCCTGTTACCTTTTGCTCTTCAGCGCTCATGGCTGCCCTGGATTCCCATCCAGTGGGTTCCCATCCCCTCCTTATGCCAGGCCTGAGCCAGCATGGGCCAGTAATTTGAGGTACAGAGCTCCAAGTGCACCTGAGAGTATAAATCCAGTATAAATACCAGGTCACACAGGCTGGGAATTAGACTAAAATTTAGACTACAATCAGATTAAAATTTAACTGATTTATTTAAAAAGGTAATATGGCAGTGGATCACTTTGAGTTGTACATACACTTCATTGTCAGAACAATGGAGCTGTTTAATGGAAATCCCTCTGCATGTTATTATTCTTTGTTCTTTATTTCCCCTGTCTATTTATTCTCACTTGATTGCTCTGATATGCCTCAGTTGTTGAATGTGGAAGACTTCTTTAAAACTCAAGTGAGTGCTTGGAGGTAGAAATTTCTTCCTTTTATTTTATATTTTTTAATGAGCTAGAACGGTGCAAAGGGTTCATGTGGCTTCAAGCCACAAGTGCTTGCTTTTCCACCTGTTTATCTTCAGCCTTAGTTAAGAGATTGCATTACTCTCTTATATGAACTACACTGGTTGTTCTCGTTCTTGGCAATGGAGGTACCAGACTGTTTGTATTTGCCACATTCCTGCACACACAGAGTGAAACCAAACACTGGATTAGAACATCTCTGGGGGAAGTTCAGTCCTGGTGACAGGAATTCCTGTGAGTGCAGGCGCTGTGTGCAGCAGGAGGGTGTGCTCACTCTCCTCATGTCTCTCTTGCAGCAATGCGCCTGTGCACGGAGGAGTGCAGGGTCCTGGGCCACTCCGATCAGTGCTGGATGCCGCCGCTGCCCTCTCCCTCTTCTGACTACAGAAGCAACATGTTCATCCCTGGGGAGGAGTTCCAGTCACCCCAGCAGCACCTGCAGCAGCAGCAGCATCACCAGGGCCTCGAGGAGGATGCCCAGGCAGCTGACACCAGTGAGAAGAAGAAGAGCTTTTCAACATTTGGAAAGGACTGCCAGAGTGAGGAGGACTCAGGGGACACCTGCACCTCCTCCCTCCTCTCTGAAATGAGCAGTGTCTTCCAGCGCCTGCTGCCTCCCTCGTTGGACGCCTACACGGAGTGCAATGAGATAGATCGCTCCAACTCGTTGGAGCGCAGGAAGGGACATTTGCCAGCCAAGAATGTAAATTATCCACCAGGGGTGGCAGCCTGGGCAGCCAGCACACATTTCCAAAACCCTGCCAACAACGGGCCCGCTCTAGGGACTCACTCGGGCGCGCAGCCTTCGTCCAAATGGCTGCCAGCCATGGAGGAGATCCCGGAGAATTATGAAGAGGATGATTTTGACAATGTGCTCAACCACCTCAGCGATGGCAAACATGAACTCATGGATGCCAGTGAGCTGGTGGCAGAAATTAACAAGCTGCTACAAGATGTCCGGCAGAACTAGTTGTTTCAAAAGCCTATTTTTCCATTTTTATGGAAAACTGGAAGGGGGAAAAAAAAGAACAATAAATAGACTGAGGAGAACTGGCATTGCCAACTAGTTGCATTTATCATAAATGTGTCTGTGTATGTTGAATATTAAAATACCGTATTTTCATATGTACACAATGCAAGTGTGATTATCTTTATCTGTATTTTAAAAATACATTTGTATCTTATATTTATGTGTAATTTAACAAATAAATTTTATTTTTGTACACCCACAGCAAGCATGTTTTCCTAAATGTATATAGATGGTACCATCCTTGTCAAACTTAGAGCATTCTTGCCACACAGGCATGTTAAAAAAAAAAAAAAAAAGAAAAAAACAAGAAGAAGGATTTGTTTTCCCTTATTATTTCTTTCAAATGTTTCAGATACAAATTCAAAACACTGAAAAAGTTATGCAAATGTTAGTTTCAGTAAATGATCCAACACCTTTTTTGCAATGTTTTATTCTTATAATAAAGAATTGTAACTCCCACAAAACCTAAAATGTCTTTTTTTATTTTGATACTTTTGGTCTGTAGAATAATTTTCTCATTTAAGTAATGGATTATTGCAGGCTGGTGTCTTCCTGTCTTTGGCACATAAGTATTTTCCCCAGTGATCAAATAATGGAATTCTGTGATGGGTCTTCCACTGTGATCTCTGCAAAAAAATGTAAATTTGTTGTCCTGTTGTTACACTGCAAAGCCAGTTGAAGTCAGCAGTGTATACTTGAAAGACAGCAATAAAATCAGCTTTTCCGACCTCAAGCTGAATTCTGAATTTATGTAAATACAAAAATTACAATGAACTCCTTTATCTTTGTAAATGACACCAAAATAAAAGCAATGTTGCATCTTCCAGAAAAACAGCTATATTTTGCCTCTGCACAGCAGCTACATTTTTATATTAGCTATATTCTCTGTTGTAAGTGTGCCTGACTTTTGTTTGCAAATCAGTACAAAAATGCTTGAACTTCCTAGCAAAGGGCAAGCCAGCAGGTACATTTGCTCTGGCTGCATCCTATTCTTCCATAGTGGGGTTTCTCTCTGTCCTGAAGCTCGGTGAAAAGTCATTTATATTATGGTGCTGTTATAGTGGGGGTGATGTAACTAATATTGCTAAGATAAAAGTCAATGTCATCCTTTTAGTTCCTTTCTTCAAAACTATTTTTTGTTAGCCTGGCATGCACAAGGGGATCTTTTTAGTAGCAAACAAATGGATTTTACAGTTGAGAAACATGGGTGGGTTTTGAGCCCCCTGTGCTCATTTCATGAGTGTTAAGAGATGGAGATGGCCGTAAAAACCAGTATCGTTTGCATTTATGCAGATGGATATTTTATATGATGCATATTTTTTTTACCAGAACTGTGCAAAACTGTTGGAATAATCCAAGTCAACATGGGCATAAAACGGATACATTTGTTCTGGAAAATTGCCCTTGTAAAGTATAATTTCTTTCCTTTTTTTTTTTTTTTTTTTTTTTGTGTTAGGTAGAAAAATTCCTGCTTAATGTTACCCCAAAAAAGCAAAAATTTTGTTGCACGCATGAGCTTAATTTGTTTTCTTTGATTAAAGGAAACTTTAATCTCCTTATTGGTTTTACAGTGCTGTAGATGGGACATTTGAACTTATATAGGCATTTGCTGATGCCTGAACAATAGAGAGGTTCTCACCTTATTTACACGTCAGGAGCTCAGGCTATCCTTTTACTGGTTAGAAATACCAGGACCTCACATTGGGAGGTTTGTCACAGCACCTTTAAATGCCAGCACGACTTGAGCCTCGTCCAGCTGCCGTCTGTTACTGAGAGGAAGAAGTTCCAACACCTCATTAAATATTTGACACCTCTTCCTTGTTTTTACTCTTCATTCCTACTAACTAATAGGCATTATTGGCCCCACAAGCCTCACCTGGGTTCCATTGTCCCATTCCCCCTCACTCCAGGGGCTCAGACTGGAGCAGGCAGCTGTTCTAGGAGTGTTTGTCCTCTGGCTCTCAGGGTCGACTCAGGACTGACTTTGTAGCTGTGCCTCCAGCCAATATCCAGCTGCTGCTGACAGGAGTCCCTCGATGTTCATCCTGCTTTGTCACCTTGGCATGCTGAGGGCTGACAATGGATCCCTTTGTCAGCACCTGACTGAACCTGCTGTGTCCAGGTTCTGTAGGGTTGCACTTTGTCAGTGTGGGTGCTGCTCATGCTGGGATTGCTCTCAGCTCCTGGTTTTCTTGATGCTTTAGAACAGCAACATCAAGCTGTCTCTGAAGCCAGCATGCTGTAGCAGTCCTAAAGTTCACAAGGCCATAACTTCCTCCTCCTTAACTAGGTTGTTTCTGTCTCATGTCAACCCTCCCCTTGCAGTTTCTCTCTTCTTCAGTGTCCAGCTTTAGCTTGGTTCTCCAAGTTCCCTCACCCTTACCCCATGTTAATCCTCCTGGCTCTCTCACTCAGTTTCCCTTAAAACTAATCCTGCAGAGCCCATAGATAAGTTTGCAGAGTATCTCGTATCCCAATAACCCCAGCCATGACTGAATTTCCCAGTTTATATCTCTTTAGTTGGACCTAGCTAGCACATCCCTGAAATCCTCCCTTGCCCTAACTTTTTGATGTGTAATTGTAAGCTCCACTGAATTCCTGAATTCCTCTACACCCAATGCCTTTTTTTGAGTGCCTCTACAGCACGGAAAGGGCTGACTTGCATGGCTAAGCCTCCCCACTGCTGACTTTTCACAGAAGTGGGAGGATCAGGAAAGCAATTCTGAAGACAAAACTTATGCCTGCCAGCTTATTTGATTCCAGCCTGGGCATACAGAGTGTGTGAGGTGTATAGGGTGACTGGAGGTTATGTTAAAAATGTACAAGGTGGTAGTTTGAAAATAGTTATTAAACTCGTAGACTATTTTTATTGACCTGATAAAACATTGCTGTCTGTGTACAAAATCAGCAGCAGAAACTCCCCTCCAAGTGGTGTAGATTCCTCCATGAATAAATGCAGCTAGCTGTTTCTCCTCCTTTCTAGAGGAGGAAATACTAGACGTTCAGGCTCAGACTGCTTTCTGTCTACAAGTTTGCAGGACAGCCTGATAAGCTTCATTTTCACAGTCATATCATCCACTAGGGATTTCAAACCTGTTTTAAATTTAAAACCCTTAAATCAGTTTATGCCTGCTGGCCTATGTCACATGGATAGTCTCAATGATTTAAAGAGCCATTGTTTGCAGAGAAGACTTTCTAGAAAAAGTAGATTGCAGTGAATTTCTCTGGTGGCACTTGGCATCCAAATATCATGAAACACGTAAGATTTTCCTAGAGGGGATTTCTGTACCAACACACAGTAATAGTATTTGGTATGTGCACTGCTGCAAGAATCTCATAATGTAAAGAGACCAGTCTCCAGGAGCAAGAAATTTTACTTAGATTGTATCTGAAATGTATTGGAGTTTGAGTTATATTTATTATTGTTAGGAAGTTTATTAAAAGATCTGTGGATAGCAGTAAATGAGAGAAAAAGCTGTCTTATTCCTGCTTTGTTTAGAGTTCCTCTTTTGCTCAGGCTTCCTTTATTAATAAGAGAAATTATATAATATTAATATAGGTGTATGTACACTCAGATAAAAACCCTACCACCAAATCACTTCTGTGTAAAGAACGAGGAAAACTGATAGTTGCAGTTTAAACAAAATATGTAATAAATCTGTATTTGCTGCATTTTGACAACTAATAAAGAGCTAGGGGTTGCTGATGTGGTTTAAGCACCAAATGTGACGATGATTTTCCTGCCCAGAACACAAGTTCCTAGTACTTCCCTAAATGTTTACTAGTTTATTCCTTCTTGGTGGTATAATGACAGAAAAGTTTGTGAAAATTGGCAAATGGTATTTACCACAATACTGGTAATCCCTGTACATGTTCAAGGCCTGGTATGGTGAGGCTTTGGGTTGAGTGGTCTAGTGGTAGGTGTCCTTGACCATGGCAAGGGATTGGAACAAGATGATCTTTAAAGTCAAACCCAAACAATTCCATGGGGTAGAGGTTCTGGCATTCCTTCTATATATGGAAATACTGAGACTTTTGAGCAAATACAAAGCTAATGGATGCTCAACAACTACTTTTCTCCATGCTCATGTAAGTTTCTTTATATTCACTTCTGAAATGGTTACATAAAAAAAATTTACTGAAATAAGGATCAGAGTTGTTGGACCACTTATTTAAGTTGTGTTTAAGCATTTGTATCATTGCTGCATCACACTTTGCTGTTAAGTGCCCATTAGGACAAATACATTGAGCGGATGTGGCTGTCAATAATGTCTTGACTGCATTCTCTACCCTGCAATAGAAATCAAATAAAAGCCGCCACAAAATATTTAACCCTTACAGTTTCCTTATCTTTTTTTTTTTAATGCAATATTGGAATTCATAGAAAATGCCAAGAAGTTTAATTTCTTTCTCTGCAGCCTGCAGAGGATTTCAGTTTCCCAAGATTAGGACTTGGAAGCCTCCATTTTTAGCATTAAGTTAACATAGCTTCTGACCTAGGAGACTAGGTCAGGTATACATGTGGGGTTTTTTTCAACAATGCAGGCTGTTACATTTTCAGGCACAATTTCTCTCCTTTCTGTATCTCGGGGTCAAACTCTGCCTGCACACAAAACTTGGCCTGCAACATTTTCCACAATGCAGTTTATATAAATAAATTTAAAAACCACATAAATAAATAAATAAATAAAATAATAAAATACTAAAAAAAGAAGTGATAATATAATTACTTCTATCAATAAAAATATTCGTAATTAACAACTGTGCTATGTTTTGCATCCTCAGAGCTGTAAATCATAAATGTCTGAGCACTTGTGAAAAACAATATTCTGGGATCAAGTAACCTGCTACTGAAAAAAGCCTCTCTGAAGAGACACACAGTAAGTGTTTAAACAATATTGTAAAAACTATTTACAGGAGAATTGGTAAATAATACTTTAATTAAAACTCAGTGGAGACTCTGGAAAAACTGGGTAATAATTGAGACTGCAATCTGACCAGTGCACAGATTCTCCAGCCTCTTGCCCATGGATCAGTGTGAGAAACACAGTGAGAAATGACCATGCAAACAGTTTTATAGCTCACAGAAATATTCAAAGCTTCATCAGGCATCCAGTTTCACTGCATGACTTTGCAATCTATTGCCCAGCCCTGTGCTCTGGAGGTTTGCCTCCAAACTGACATGCAAGACTGGACTCCAGAGGAAATACAGGAACAGGAAAAGGAGGGATGCATGCTGTGCCAGATGTTGGAAAGCAATTGTCTACCCTTCCAGCCAATCACTCCTCAAGCCACATTTGTTTTGCTTTTTACTCTCTGTGGAAAAAAAATGTGTGTTTTAAACATTAAATAAAGGCAGCAGCTTCAGTGGGAAAATTTGAAATTGTGTGGTAGAGTAGTGGCTAGGGGAGATTGAAATTTTAAAAAGAACTTGAAGCTTCCTGTGAAGACAAAGGGATTTGAAGTTGGGCTGTCTCATAGTGCAGAGGAAGACAAAAGTATACACTGTATTTGCATATACTTGCATTTTGTAAGAATGATTCTATGGTCTTGTCCTGAAGATACCAGAGATAATGGTGGGGTTTTATTTAAGAAAAATAAAATTCTAGCTTAAAATATTTTTTTTAATGTTTGCTATTAATTCAAGTCCAGTATGCAGGCCTCGCAGAGATGGCTGTGGATGGTGATCTTTCCCATAGACTAGAGGTTTAATCCGTACTGCCATAATCTGCTTTTCTTAGTGATTTGTTCATGTCTGACATCCTCTATCAAACACAAAGTTCTTCCCATGTATTGTACAGAAAGCATGTGAGTACTATAGATCCTAC